GTCATTATAATGTAGAAAATTGTTTTCTTCAAAGTAACACAATTTTAAACGACAAAATTCACGCTTCGACTATTTTTTGAATCTTATTTATTGATGATGCTGATTTTTTTGTTGTTGTTGAATATTATTGGTGAATAACTTGTGACTTAGAGGTTTTTCAGGTTAATGCCATAAATAGCGCTGTTCAACTGCACATAATTTCAGATAGTGTTCCTATTGTTGTCACCACCCCCATCCAAAAACACTATTCGGCTCTTTATTTGATCTTGTTGTTTTCAAAAGTAGACTTCTGTTGTCTGGTCATTTTTTCACATTTTTTTTACTCTAATTTCGCTCAAGAGATCAAAAATATCGTTATTAATCAATAACAAATACTTGTAAAAAAAAATTGAATGATAAGATGCGTAACAATAAATACTCTTAGTATTTGCAAAATCCTAAAATAATCTCGGCGAAAAGGAAAAAAATAAAAGCACGTTTTTTTTGCGGAAACGTTATTGTCGTTTTGGTATTCGTTTTAACTGAAGACTGAAATAAGCACTTACTTGGAAAGCTAGGTGATTGCTCATTTGTGGTGGTCTATCGAACTTCTTCAGGATTTCTGAGTCAACTTCAATGTCAGCTAAAACTTAATAAAACTGCACCCATTTTCATTCTGATTTCATATTTTCTATTGCTATTTTTATTGCATAAATTTATGAAACAAAAACTTTCGCTTTATGCTACAAAACGTCAACTGTATTAATAAAGTTAAGCAAATATTATTGTACCTTTTGAAGATTGTTCTGCTGGTACCGGAACACATGGGAATCGTCGAACCGAAACATCATAAGAAATGCTTCAAGAATATTTTTAGATAATTTTACCGTTTTAAAAATTGGCTCCATAAAATTATCTTCAAAATGTAAACAAAAAGTGGGTAAAAAATTTTGAAAAATAAGGTTTAAACTATTTTGTTGTATACCTTCCGTCAATTCCACGTCGGAGTGCAATATCAGAAATGTAGTCAAATGCATACTGACGTCCTTTTTTTGTCACCTCACCACCGATGACAATTTGTCCAGGCTTTACAACTGCAACGCCACGATCAGTTGAATGACGAAGACCTTCATAAGAACAGCACTGCAAGGAAAGCCTAAAGAAGAACTGGTATTTTTTTTTTCTCGTTTATAGCGTCAAATTAACAAATATTCAAACAAATTAAAAAAGAGAGGTTTTTTTTTTGAACATTTTAAAAACAGTTGTATTTTTTTATGTCAAAAAAAGTATTGCAAACTAACTGGTCAGTGCTTGTATTTGATACTGGTCCAATACCACCCACCCATTGCCCTTCGAAGGCACATGAAGTTTTATCGAAAGAGCTGTCACAAAACTAAAATTTTTCTTATTCATTGACAAATTTTCCAATTTTGAACTTAATTAAATGAAAAAATTAACTAGATAAAAGTTTACAAGATAGACTTAATTTTGCAAAAAGTTACAAAAGATGACTGGTCTAATTTTTACAGTTGATTTTCTAGAACAAATTTTACAGCTGTTTGTTGTTGGAAATTCAGTCGATCTTCGCCATAACGTTTTGGTGGCAATTCGGTATTCTTACGAACAAATCCATCTGGAACACCATTAACTCGATAGAACTGGGCATTTGAGGATACGGGCTTTGCATCTGCGGTCCATCCAAAACAGGTTGGTCTTGCACAACCCAATACTGGTTGTCCATTTTCCAAAGCCTATCAATGTAGACAAAAATTTTTACATTTTTGTAATAAATAACAGTACTGCTTTTTAACTAAACTTAGTGCTTGACACAAAAAAAAAAGTGTAATAAAATACAATTTCAGTTGATCGTTATTTTTGCGTTTAAACAGAAAAATACATATTTCTTACTTCAAAACTGAATGGAATAGCTGATTCACCGCATGACGATGTATGGACTACAGTTGCTGTAGATAAAAATAGAAGCAGATGGATAATTTCCATTTCAGTTGGACAGAGAACACGCCACTACAAGAAACATCGCATTACCAAATTCAGCTTTTCTTTTCCCTTTATTATTTAACGTCAACAAAAGCTACTTATAAATGAAAAAAAAGACATTGGAAGCAGTCTACAAATATAGACTGTTGTAAAAAAAAAAAACGGAAAACAGAAAACGGTTTATAACCAATTTGCTTAACTATTTGTTGGAATACAAGATGTAAGATCAAGCTATTTAAGGCAACCAAAAAAGAATTAATTTTTATTGTTTTATCAGTACAGTTTTCACTATTCTATTGGTGATTGTAAATAGCAGTTTCTAGTAAAGAATAATTAAAAAATAAAAAGTAGCATTACTCAAGAAAATACTAAAAAGTTGAAACTAATTTTTTGTTTTTCTCACTCGAATACATTATAAAGAAGCAACCGGGTTGCAGAACTCTATAGGCCAATATCAGAATTCGTATTCAATCTCATAACATTCTGATCAAACATCAAAAAAAAAA